GGCTTCCTGTAGTCAGCTCCTGGTCAGTTTCAGTGGCAGCAGCTGAATCTGGAGCCAGTTCCGACTTACATACAAATTCAACTTAAGAACAAACCTATAGTCCCTATCTTGTACGTAACCCGGGGACTGCCTGGACTAGTGTTTCTATTAGGGATGTAAAATTCCATTTAATTGGCTGTGTTCAATTGTCAATTAAAAGGATACGAGCAAGGGGATGTGAACAGGGGCTCTAATCAGCCCCTGCTTGTGGCCAGCCAGGCTGCCCCCCAGGCAAAGGCTGCTCTGGCATCCTGGTCAAAGCAATCCCTGCTTGTGGGGCACCCAAGCCTGCTGCGGACACAGGCTGCTCTGGCTAGGATACTGGACCTCTCCTTTGTCTAAAATTTTAATTGGATACATAATCTATCATTTTTTAGTAATCAAATATTGATTAAGTCCCTCATGCTACAGCTAACACAAAACTTCATTCCAGGCAGAATATAAAGATTTATTATGTGCTACCCAGTACAGGTTGGACTTCCCTGATCCAGCACCCTCGGGACTGGAGTGGTCCCGGATGAGGGATTTTTCTGGACCAGGGGAGGTCATTTCATGCCCCCTGCTGCCAACCCTCCCTGCTGCCCCTGCCCTCCAGGCGTCCCAGCTTCCCTCTCACAGCCCAATTGAGCCGCGTGTCAGCTCCTGGCTCCACCCTCGGAGCCCCACTGAGCCGTGTGCTGGTTCCAGAGCCCTCACTCTCCTGCAGTGCTCCGGCACTATCTGATCGTGGAACATTCATGGTGATGCCAAACCATGAACATTGCCAGACCAGAGCACCCCAGATTTTAGAGGTGCAACCTGTATTAAGTTACGGTGCAATGTACTTGATGTTTTAATCTTTTTCAGGCTACATCAATAACTGCAAAATTGTATTTTACAATAAAAAATTATGTTCTTCAGACAAAATTTACAGTAGCAGTTCAGAAGCATGAAAAGGACTGTGTGCCTCTTAACGTCTACTGACCTATTTTCCATAAACACTAGACACAAAATAAACAAACAAAAATAAACAGCATCATCATAACACAGAATAAAAAAGAAACCCTGCATAGCACTGAGTGGCAAATAATGTAATGTATAATTCTCATGCTAGAGTAAAATAATTTAATGTGATCCCTGAAAAAGGAATACAACCTGCAGAGGACCAAAAACTCTTAAGTAAAATTATTATCAGGCAAAATGCTTTTTCCATGATTAATGAGGATTTATTCTTATTTTGAACTGCAAACTCATAAGCACTCTGTAAGGTTTTTACATACCTTTACAGTGTACAGCTATAGCACCTTCGGCATTCTCGCAGATGTTTAAGAACCGTCGCACTATACTGTCACTTGGTGTGCTTCCATCTATGAAGAACAAGTCATAATGCTCAAAGCCAGCATCTGTAAAACGTTTTCCCTCATAGATCTTTTTGTTTAGTCTTACAATCGATGTGACATTGTGCTTCCTGAAATAGGGAAAGTAGGCTTCAGGTGCATGAAGAGGATAACCTAAAATATGCAAAAAAAAGAACATCCACCCATTAGTAAATCTCTGAAAACTATCTTAACACACACAAACCAAACCTCTCTTTAAAAAAAAAAAAAAACCCAAAACAAAACAAATTAACACATTTTAAATGAAAAACATGTTATTAGTGTGCTGTTAACAATCATGTTTGACATCTTAATAAAGATAAATGTATCTATTTGCAAGAACATGTTAAGTTTGGTTAAAAATTAACAAAAAGATTTAGCCTGAGGTTTATAAAGCTATTATTCTTATAAACAAAGGCATCAGAAGATGTGAAAGCATAATGTCTCTTTGGTACTGTACAATGTCCTGTGTGTTAGAAGTTAGGTTTACAATTAATACAGTAGATTCTCTACCCCAACTCTAAAGCTAAACTTATAATGAAGGATTATCCGGTTTCAAGTGAGGCATATGTATGACGATTGTACAATTCCATATGGTGTACATGTTTATCTGTTGTGGAGAGAGAGACTGAAAACCTTAGAACAAGTGGTTATCTTCTGGAACTAAAATCTCATTCTCAACTGCAGTTATTTTTGTGAATCTCTGAATTTTACATCAACGCAATTAAGAATTACATAGTTTTAGTATGTATATGTTATAGCTTTGATTTATGTTTATTCAGCTTTGTGAGTCAAACATTGAGTCAGTCATTCAGCTAGTAGCTATTATTGTAGTGGAGTGGCTGCTCCACTTTACAGAATGAGGGGTTAAGGTAGGCTGGAAAGAACCTGTGCAGAACCCAGCCATTGAGAGATAGGCTTCTTAGGTGCCAGTGAGGAAGCAGCTTGGTGGGGCAGCCTAGATATAAGAAACTTCTCAGAAGAGCAGAAAGCAGTTGGATGCTGACCAGCGAAGGTCAAGGACTGGTTCTCACTGATGGCACAGAATTTTGGACACCGTAGTGCTGAATAGACTCAGGAGAGCAGAGTGGGGGAAGCTTCAACCCGATACCAGCTACAAAGAGCCAAGAAAGTGGTCACAGGGAAGTGGCCAGAGAACATTAAGAGGCCAGGAAGAGGAGGAGGACAGGACAAGGCTGTTGCTAGAGGATCCCTGGGTCAGAACCCAGAGTAGTTGGTGAGCCTGGAGCACTCCTGTTGCACTACCTCTTGCCACCAGGGAGCATGGTTATGGCAGTTTGCAGCTTGCCTCTCAGGTGAAGGGCTAGACTTTGAGATGTGGTTGGCTGCTGAGGTAGGTGCAAGTCTGAGGACTGCCGATCCCCACCAAAAGTGGGGAGAATGGACTGGTGGGCATTTTTCTGAAGAGGCTGTCACAATTCAAAGGAGCAATGCAGGCGCAGAGCCAGTAGAGGGGAGACAGGAAAGCAGAGTAATAATGCACAAGACACTGACCAGAATGTGGTGCACTCAAGTGACTGAGCCAATTCCCAGACTAACCAGCAGGAGGTTCTGCAGTGGTGAGTCCAACCTGCTATAATTATGTTATCAGAAACATTCCTAAGAAGCCACAGTAGAAAATATCCTGCTATTATGCTAGCACATTAGGTTTATCACAAATGTGTTCATTTTCGATTGGTTTTCTGTTTACTTCTCACTATTTCTGTGAATAGTAGATCTAGCCAAACTGAACTTTCAATTGTTTATTTTAGTTTAAGAGAGGGTAACTCATGTGGAGAAAATAGCATCTTTTGTTAAGAAAAGGTCAGATCTTTTTTTTTTCTTGACCTTAGTTATTTACCAATTTCGTCTATGCACTAAGCTGAACTGTGCCAAGTGGAGACAGAATTCCTCATATGGGTAGGTAAAGGTGGGGATGGAGAAAATCTACTATGTGTTTGAGAGAGTTTCTGTTGGTGCGTCTGTGTGTTTGTTCAAGAATTCCTCCTAAACAGTAAGAGCTAGGACCACCAAATTCGGTGTGCAGGTTCCTCTTACAACTTAAACCAAGGTAGTGGTGGTTCCAGGAAAATGGGATATGTCTGGAATGGGACTGCCTTTCAAAGCCATACAGAAAAGAGACAGAATCACTAGGCAGGTGAAAGGGGCTGGCTGGGAGTGCCCTTACCCATCTGGGACTGCCCCAGCCCTGAGCCTCCCATCCTCCCAGAACCCGGTAGGAAGGACTGAAACTCCACTCCCCCGATTTGTATGGGGACATTGCTGGCTGTTCCCCTTTAATTTGCTGGCTGTTCTCCTTCATCAGGAAGCCAGGGGAAAGTACACAGTTTGCTATATTCCTCACTCTGGCAGGGAAGGCGCAGAGGGCAGACGAACCTGGATCTTTTTAAAGACAGTCTTGGAGAAGGTTCCTAGTTGGCTCTCTCGCAGGCAAATATCTCAAATAAAATATTCTTTCATGTCTTTGATGTACTGTGTCTTCATTAGCAATTAAGTACCTCAGATCATCTGCATTAAAATGTGCAGAGAGGAAGGAAAGTTGCTCTCCATCAGATGAAACCTGAGAAAAATGTTATGTTCAGGGGATCTTTAAAAGAAGAGACACATTTGCTGTTTATGTTTGATTATTTTAAAAAAGTGTGACTTGTCTGAGGGTAGTAAACTAGCCCCCCTTTTCTAAGAAAGGCATAATGGAAACTACGGTAGTTATGTGGAATTTTATTTTCCTCAGATATATCTTTAACTCTTAGAGCTAAAATAGATCTGAACCCGTCTTTTGCTTTGGAAAAGGGGAAATTTTTCTCCTGAGAAACATAGGAACATCCTCTATAACTACAGGCAGTCCCCGGGTTACATGGATCCGACTTACATCGGATCCCTACTTACAAACGGGGTGAGGCAACCCCGCATTAGCTGCTTCCCCCTAGCAGACCAGGGAGATGCGGAGCAGCTTTTCTCGGCAGACACCTCAGCTTGAGAATAAAGGACTGAGGGAAGTGAGGTGTGGGAGAATAAAACTGAGTCCTGGAGAAATGTTTAGCTAGAG